TCTCTAATTACTAAGGATGTTGGACACATTTGAAGGTGTTTCTTAGTCATTGTTAATTCTTTTCTGAACTCTCTCTGTTCAGAGCCATAGCCTTTTTATAAAAAAAAAAAAAAAAAAAAAATAGGGTAAGCGCAGCCATTTTGGATTTTGCAGTTAATGTCTTATTTTGGCTGTGATTCTTTTTAAAAATTAAAAAAGGAAAAAAAAAGTTTCTCAGCTGGAAAAGAAGCCACACATGAGATGAAGATGACGCTGAACCCCAACCCCACCAGAATGAGCCAGCCCCTTCCAGAGTCGAGTCTCCGTGGACAGGATGAGCCAGCCCTTCCAGAGTCGAGTCTCCGTGGACAGGCGGGCAGGCCAGCCCCTTCCAGAGTCGAGTCTCCGTGGACAGGCGGGCAGGCCAGCCCCTTCCAGAGTCGAGTCTCCGTGGACAGGCGGGCAGGCCGGCACTGAGACAGGCTCCAGCTCTGCAACTTCGGAGCTTCAGGCGCAGGGCGCACACGTCCTGCCCCATCCTCCACCTCTCCCAGGCACCTCTCTGGCTGCAGGTCTCCTCACTGGAGACCCGAAAGCGGAATGCTTTTCCTGGACTACTGGGGCATCATCCCTTCTTCCCTTCCCCGGATCAGAAGTATATATATATATTCTTGACTAAAGTCTGATTGGGAAATATTTCCTGTCTTTTATTTTAAGCATCAAATCGTTTTAGTTGATTTAAAAAGGAAAATACTGAATAGACCCAAAAAAAAAAGGCCAAGGGTATTGTTGGGGTATCTGTCGGTGTGGATGGTCTTTTTTGAGCGATCTCCTAAAATAAAATATTTTGATAAGCAGTTTCCTGGTCCTGGTGTCTGCATTGCCTCTCTGGGCTGCCTCCCCACTGGATGCCCAGGCCTTGGCTCAAAATGAACCAAGAACTCCCGTGGAGACCCCACCTAGAGCAGATCCTACACAGTCTCTTACCCTTCAGGAGCCAGTAGGCACGAACTGGGCTTAAAGCCTCTGCCCCTAGAGTGTTGTGCCTCAGTTTCCCCATCATGTGACTGGGCCCAGTTTCTGCTGAATTTGTGCTCCATTTTTCTTGGGATGTGAGCTGATAGCTACCTCTCTGTACTGTACCCTGGCTGGGTAGGGACTGCAGACCTGGTTAGGCTGATCCCCAGCTATGACGCCACTCATCACTCCTGCTTTGGACAAGTCGCCTGACCCTGACCCAGGTATGCAAAGCCTGAATGAGATTGGGCTGCCTTACTCCAGAGCAGCAGTGACCATGTTCCTTCCAAAATGTCCCTCCATGGCACTTGATAGCTACACTCCACAAGAACCCACCAGTGCAGACAAGCCCTACAGAGGCCAGACTCCAAGGCCTTCCCAGGCAGATGCCCTCGGTCCTGTGGGGGCACCACCTGCCCCACACCATCTGTGCTGTCTACCTTCCAGGAGGTACTTGGGATGCCATGCCAAGAACCCCAAGTTCAAGGACAAGGCCTTATGTGCCCAGTATGGGACAGTGGCTCTTCTGGTCTTTGTAATGTGTCCTGTTACCTGCAACTCTGTCCTGGGCTCAAGGACTTCCAAGTACGGGGCAGGGCAGGAAGGTTCTGCTGGGCCACACTATTTTCCCCTCTATGAGAATGTCACAATCCACAGGATTTGTCCTCAGCTCAGTGTCCTTTCCTTATCCCACCCTCCATCAGGTCAAAGCCAGGTACAAAAGAACTCCAGCCTCCCAGCTAGTGGCCATCCAAAGACATGAGCTGACCCAGTTCACCTGGGCAGATCCAGCCTGTAGTTCTACTGCTGCTTCCTGAGGTCAGGCCAGCTGAGGGATGGCTTGACAGCAGAGGTGGCCTCAGAGTAGCAAGCTAACTGCAGGCTGGAGCTGTGAGCTAGGTCCCTGCAGACCAAGCCAGATTCAAACTCGGAGCCACTAATAGCCCATGTGAAAGCCAGGACAGATGTCCCGCTGTAGGGCTTGTACCCTAGCCTGTGAGGACAAGACCTCACCCAACCCACCTCTCCTTCATTCAGATCTAGTGGAGAGAACACATCTTGGGGAAGAGTCCCCCTCTGGAATGCGACACTCCAGTGACTCTCCCCAGGTCGTCTTCTGTGTGTTGGGGTGGTGGTGAACACGTGTGTGCATGGAGGCTGGAGGCCATCCCAAACACCATCCACCTCCTTTGCAGGCATCAACCTGTCTCCACCCCCGGTGCTGGGATTAGTTGACATCTTTTTCGAGGGTCCTGAAGATTGAACTCCTGTCCTCATGTTGCAAGGCAGGCACTACCAGCTGAGCCATCTCATGCCCCATGCCCCTGGGTCACAGAGCAATCAGCCTCACTGTTAACTGGATCCCAGGCCCAGCAGAGGTATAGCCCCCTCTAAGAATCCTCCACAGCCAACAGTAACCCTTGTGGAGACCCAAGGCTTCCAGACCTTCCCTCTTCTCCCTCACCAGCTGGCCAGGCAGGATCTGTGTAGGGGACACTTGAAGCATGGTGTGGGTGGGGCCCATCTAGCCAGTGCAGGTTGCCCAGCATCCTTCCTCCTGGCCGCCTTTCCAGTCTTGCCCAACCTAGGACTTCTGTATGAGCCTGACCTCAGGAGCAAGGCCAGCTACCTCCTGCCTCACACCTGCATGTGTTCTGGCTCCCACTTCCGGCCTATTCTCCGTGTCCTTTAAGCAGCCCTAGGCATTATCTCTGGGGGTGGGGGGTAGGGAGGGCTGCCTTTAGATCCCACAGAGCACGCTGTGGCCACCAGCTGTTCAAATAGAAAATACACAACATAATTTGGATGCGGGGCGGCGGGGTTTTGGGGGAGGCAGGTACTGCAGGTGGATGCCTAGGCCAAAGTTATTGGACATAGGCTGGGATAAGCTTGACCATCCAGCTGCCATCTCAGGACCCCCATGGTTTGTGGGAACTCAGAATAGATGTGCTGGCTCCCACTCCACCTGGGAGGGCCCTGCACTTTGAGGGCTGGGCAAGATGGAAGGAAGCTATGCACAGGATCAGCTGGGTGTAGGATAGCTGCCAGCCCCAGACATGGGCCACAGGGTCAGGGAGGAAGTGCACCAGCCAAGGCCAGAGGCAGGTCTGTTCATCTCCCCTAGGCTCCATTTGGAAACTGTAATCACCCAGGTCCATAGGTTCCAGCCTCGGAGGGCTGGCAGGTGAACAGTCTCACTGGGGGTGACTGCTGGGCCAGCTCAGTCCCAGGCAGGCACATGGGCCTCTTGCCCCCTAGGACTCTGGGCTCCACCCATTCACCCTAGTACCTCTCTGTCCTCAGAATCCATCTGCTCTTATAAAGCAGGGGTGGAGACAGGAGAGACTGGTACTGGAGTTAGGTGCTCAACTTATGGTGGTTCAAGTCAGCTCTGACAACACATCTGCTCTGTAGTCTGGGGTGGGTGCTGCCACCCTGGGTCAGTTTCCCTGTCTGGGAAATGGGTTAAGCTGGCGTTCCTTAAAGAACACGGCAGGAGTGGAAGGGAGCCTCCGGAGCTACCGTCTGTCTGTTCCTCTCCTGAGTCGGGTACAGGTGGGACACAGGTGGGGGGGCAGTCATGTCCCTCCCCCTGCTTGGCTCACTGCCCTAACAGAGGCCTTTCCTTAGGGAGTCACATGGCCCCTGTGTGAACAGACCCGGAAGTGTGCAGCGCTGACTCTAGGCTAGGGCACTCGGGTGGGCCTTTGTCCCCCAGTGTTCCCCTTTTCCTTCTAATACTTTGTTTCCTCTTCTCCCTCCCCTGCCTTCTGGTCCCAGGACTTCAGGTGCTGTTAGGCAGGTTGTATACTGCAAGACTTTCCCAAGGTTCCCGGTCCAGGAAGGAACTGGAATCCACTGACCCACCCACCCTCCCCTGGGAAGATCCCTGATCCCAACACTCTCCTCCCTTAATCCGCCTCCTCCCCACCTGTGCTTTCCTTCTCCCCATATCACCCTAGAAAACTCACAACTTACAGATGCAGCATGCAGGAAGGCCACAGGAATCGCTTCATAGGTCGGACTGAAAACCCAAGGCCCAGAAAGCCCCATTCGGACCCACTAGGGCCCTCGAGGACCTGGAGCCCCACAGCAATAGACAGATGTGTGAGTGTCTAAGTGCATGTGGGTGAGCACATATGCCAGGAAGGAGCTGGAGGTCAGCAGACCCTGCCCAACAGAGAGGGGACTCGGATCTGCACAAAACGTCTCAACTGGGCTGGAGAGGTGGCTCAGCAGTTAAGAGCACCAGCTGCTCTTGCAGAGGACTGGGGTTTGATTCCCAGCACTTACATGGTGACTAACAACCATCTGTAACGCAGGTCCAGGCGATCTGTCCTCTTCTGTCCTCCTCAGGCATTGCACAATATGGGTGCAGTTACATACATGCAGGCAAAACGCTCATACGCATACAATTTTTAAAACATATGTAAAAAGTTCCTTGGCAACATTTTGGCAAGGGCTTCCCTGGGACACATGGACCTTCTCAGGCCCTTCCCGGCAGCGTTTCATCTGCCCAAAGGTTGGCAGAGTGAGGGGAGGGGCTAGAGTTTCACCTGAGTCTGAGAGGCCCTAGGAACAGGCCAGCAGCTGTGAATCGCATCAGTAATGCACCTGCTGTTGACCTCCAACAAATCCACAGACCCGGCCAGCAGGTAACAAGGCATTGCCCTCAGGTGGCCCTGGGAGTTGAGCAGAAGCACTGTCCTTTCCTGTCTTTGGGCTGTCACTCACAGGGTATCTTCATGAGCTGTTAGCTCTGGGGCTGGGCCCTTTCACACCACAGCCCCTGCCTGGGGACTGGGGAAGGATCTGTGGCTGCACTTTCTGGTCCTATCGGCACAGCTGGGCATTCTGGAAGCTAATGAGAATCGGGGCAGACAGGACCCTCTGCCTTGGAAGTGGCCAGGGCCCCAAAAAGCCCCAAAGAGGGACCCTCCCGGGATGACATCCAAACCTCAGGGTTTTAAACTGATCACAGATCGGGCCCGGCCCACCCCATCCAGCTGTGCTGGATTGCCTGGGGCCGGGGCACCGCAGGCGGCTTCCGCTCAAATCAGCTTCCTGCGGTGCAGCTCTCATTTCCAGCAGGCTGCAGCCTTCATCCCAGCCTTCATCCCAGGGCTTTCAGCTTGGCTCAAACTCTAGGAGCCCCCTGAGCCCTAAGGGCATTTCTCAGTCGCACCTTCCTGCCTGCACAGGGAGGACACGTGGTGATCACCTGAGGCAAGAAACAGAGCCTCGATGTCCACTCACAGGTCCAGAGGACTGATCCTCATGGATCCACGGCAGCCCGTAAATGCGAGCCCCTGCTCCCAACCCCAGGGTCAGTGAGTTCAAATAGCAAAACTGGCACAAACCAAAGCAAGCTGCTTAGCTGAAGCCCCTATAGAAGGTTCCAGAATGTCCCACAGGTCAGGGGGCCCAGTTCTTTGTAGGCACTCCACTGGGTAAGGTCCCTCTGGGTCAGGAGGTTGCCTCACAGGGGCTCGAGTCTGTGACATGGCGCTCTTGGGGTGGGCGCGGCAGGGTGGGGCACAGAAGGGCCTTTGCTAGGGACCCGTGATGACGATGGGACCATGGGATGCCAAGGGACAGACCCAGAGGAGGAAGCAGTGCTGGGTTTTCCACAGGTGTGGCCCTGGGTATAAAGAAGCAGTGCAGCCAGGTTCCACCAGGTGTGGTGCTGGGACCGTCGCCAGGTGTGAGGCCATTCTGTGCCTGCTGCCATGACCACCGTCACTGACACCATGATGGTGAGCCTGGTGCTTCCCCAGCCCCTGTGATGGCAGCCTGACCCAGAAGGGTCGGGCTCTCTGAGCCCTGGGAGGAGGGTGCTGGGGGCTTCATCCAGAGCCCAGGTGCACTGCTTATCTTTGGGTGGGCTGAGTTTGTTTCCCCATCTGGCAGAGGGAGGTCTGAACCCCATATTTTCAGTGGGAACAGGCAAGCTTGGGAGGAAGTGGGGTGTCCCCTAGATACCCCCTAATCATACTCCTGCCTGTTCCCCAGCTCCTCCATGGCATCCTGCTCCTAGGATGGCTGTCTCTTGCCATAGCCCACCAAACCTCCCCATTCAGGGGGACACCCCGCAGCCATGGGGCTCCACGTTGTTACTCTGCTGAGGAACTGCCCCATGGCCAGGCCCCCCCACACCTGCTAGCTCGAAGTGCCAGGTGGGAGCAGGCCCTCCCAGTGGCTCTGGTGTCCAGCCTGGAAGCCATGGCCCACAGGAGGCAGCATGAAGGAGCCCTGGCTGGAACACAGTGCCCTGTGCTGCGGCCAGAGGAGGTGCTGGAGGCTGACACCCACCAGCGTTCCATCTCACCCTGGAGATACCGGTGAGGGTAATGGGGTCCCCACTGGTGGGGTGGCTCTCTCCTTACTCTGGAGTCTCGAACACTTGCTCAGCAGGCATGCTTACCCTGACCTTTAGGTCCACTTTCACCTGGGAGGCTGAGGCGTGGGACCAAGTGAGACCCTTGGAGGCCTAGGGAAATGTAAACATCGTTGAGCACCAACTACATGGCAGCCATCTCGGTGTCTGCACTGTCCTGTATACTGCCTGCCCATCCAAGTGCGGGGGGCAGCCTTGAAAGTAAACAGGCCTCCAGGCGGGGACGGAGGGTGTCACGCCCACCATGCTGCTTGTGAAAGCTCAGAATGGTTCTTGGGGGAATCAGAGAAAGAAGCCTCACTGCCCCTGTCCCCACAGCATTGACACGGACGAGAACCGCTACCCACAGAAGCTGGCGGTCGCTGAGTGCCTGTGCCGGGGCTGCATCAATGCCAAGACGGGCCGTGAGACAGCGGCACTGAATTCTGTGCACCTACTGCAGAGCCTGCTGGTGCTGCAGAGACGGCCCTGCTCCAGAGACGGTGCAGTGGCCCCCACACCAGGGGCCTTCACCTTCCACGCTGAGTTCATTCGAGTGCCCGTGGGTTGCACCTGTGTCCTTCCCAGGTCTGTACAGTGACAGTGGCCTCTGCCTTCACAGTGGCATACCAGACTCCTCCCAGGCCAGACATGCCTGGCATCCCCGCCAGAGGGCACCTTCTATTTATATGTATTTATTTGTTATTTATTGATTATTAACTGCAGCAGAGGCTGTGTCTGCCCCTTGCCCTGCATTCCCTGGCCAGTGGCCAGACCCAGGCTGCTGATCTCAAGACTGAAGAGCCCTGGCATCCCTATGTCTGGAGAGATCACTCCTGATGGCTCTCCAGCCTTACCATGTCAACCCATGGGCAGAGCTACATATGGTAAAGCATACTTGTAATCCTAGCACTTGGCAGAGGCAGGAAGGATGCCACAAGTTTGCAAACAGCCTGGTCTACATATGAGTCCCAGGAAAGCCAGGTCTACACAGTGTAAACCCTGTCTCAAAGGAGAGAAGATGGAGGGCAGGCCAGAAGGGGGCTGGCTCCCTTTCCTTGAACCTCAGGAAAGGCAATGAGAGGCCTCCATGTCATCCCAGAGCCCCAGCTCCTGCCTGGTCCAGCCTCTTAGGGTCTGTCTTCTCAGCTACCCCAAGGAAAAGGTTATCTGTCCTCTTAAACAATTATTTATTTTAACTGTCATTAAATGGATACAATTCAGTGGCCCATTCATTCATTTTCCTTCCCTCCTGGCCCTCTCTACCCAGGAGGTGCCCAGGGGCCACCAAAGTCCCAAAGTCCTTTGCCATGGCTTCCATGTCCCTGATGTGCCACCCAGGTGGGGAGGGGCTTGAACACAGTGAGGCACAAGTGAGCCCTCGGCCCTGGGTTTCCACCTCTTCCTAGGAGGCTGCTGCTGTCCTAGACAGGGAGCGGGCTGCTCCCCAAGACCACATCGTGCCCTCCCCCCTTCATTACCACCTTGAGCATCTGGGGCACCACCTCTGCCCTGAGGTTGATGGTTCTCTGCATCAGGATGGGCAGTCATCTGTCACACCACCCCTCCAGCATGAGCTTGCCAAGGAGGCTCTCCCCAGCAGGAGCGCAGACTCCTGTCCTATTGAGTGCCTTTGATGAAGGGGACTGGGTGCCGGTGGCTTCCATCATGGAAAGCTCGGCCAGATGTGGGGGGAGGCTCAGGGCCTCCCCTGCCCAGCCAGCTATTAACACTGACAGCTCAGGAATGGAGAGAAAAAAAGATTCACCCTGGAGTGCACAGAGGTGGAGGCCACAGGCAGAGAGTACTTGGGGTGGGGGGGGGTAGCCTTTATTTAGAGCCTGGGAAAGACATAGGCTGAGTTTGTACCAAATGGCCTGCATGGGGTCCTGAACAGGGCAGTGAGTAAACAGCTGCAGTCCCTTCCTTGGGTAACGGTGGCCAAGAGCCAGTGAGCATCAGGAACACTTGAAGCGGGACCCAGGGAAGCCTTTAAATACCTAGGTGACCTGATGGAGCAGCCATGAAGCCCCAGGGAGTGATGCTCCCTTGCAGCAGGAACAGCTCTGCAACGGTCACTTGCATTTAAGGAAGGTGGTTGTAGCTGGAACCAGGTGAGAGAAAGATGATGGGGTCAGAGTTTGGGGTAGAGGCAGATTGCCTGGGGTGATTGGGAGCTTGTGCCTGTCACTGCAGAGCCTGGAGCCAGGTTCTGATCTGGCAGTACCTGGTGGAGGCTTTGGTTCGAATGGCTCAGTGCATACTGGTTGCAGAGCTGGAAGCGCTCTGGAATGGGAGGGAGATTGCCCTACAGAGTGGGCAACGAAATGGCGACTCTGATTCTGTGCTGGAGGCAAAGCCGGTGTGGTTGGAGTGGGTGTGTGACAGCGGGTGCCAAGATCTCGCTGGCATTTCCAGAAGAAAGGAAGGAGTCCCATCTACTGGGGCTGAGCTGGACCGAGCTGCTGGTTCAAGGATGAGTGTCAGCTGTAAGGTATAGATTCATGGTGGCCCTCAGGCCATGGCCCTAGAACATGATTTACTAACTGGGCAGGTGGGCAAACATGATATGGGGGCTCTGCAGCCCCAGGAGTCATGGGCACAGCCCACCTGGGCATGAATGTGTATGCACACCTTTGGGGTCCCCTATAAGAGCTCCTGTTTCGAGGAGAGACAAACAGAGCCCAGAATAACCCATCCAGCCACTGACAGTGTATCCCTGTGGATGTGTGTACATGCTTGTGTATATGAGCCTTTACACCAGGGTGAAGCAACAGCCTGGGTACCCCAGCTGGTAGGGAGACTCCCAGTAACCAGGGGTATGTGGCACAAATAGAGCATTTACCACCAGCCTCACCTCTGTCCTACAGAGAAGTCTGGGATGAAAGGCCCAGGGCCTCCCAGGAGCCCGTGCTCTGCCCCATGGGCCCTCTGTGTTGTCTCACGAAGGATGCCTCTGCGATCTCTCCCTGTGTGTTACTAGCTTCACTACTGAGGGTTAGGTTGGGCGGAGTAAAGGACCTGGACCAGGTACTATATTTCACGGAATATGTGATGGCTACCCATTTCACAACCCTCTGAGAACAAATCAACACTGACACAGCCCATGAGATCAAAATCCTGCCTGTGTGTCACCAGGTAGGACATGGCACATGCTAGGCGTACTGTCTCAAGGGAAACCCTCTCCCAGACTCACAGAAAGAGCCGCTTGTGCACATCAGTCATTCACACTGTTTATTACAGGGGGCATCAGTGCCCCCTGGTAGCCACCCCCCACCCCCCGCCAAGCTGAAGCTGTGGACAGTCCCCAAGGTCACACAACCTCATCTGTCACTGGGATGGGGTTGACCTGGGGGCCTCCAGCCCCCTCCTCCTCCACACTTGGTTTCTTGCGAACCTCTGCAGGTGGCCGGGGCGGGGGATTGGTGGGTGGCTGCTTGATGGTGCCTCCAACTTGTGGCCGCTCCTTGGGCTTGGGTTCAATGGGGATCCATTGCTCACCACGGATGGCCGCCTAAGGGGCAGACAGGGGCTGTGTTGTGTTGCTAGCTGCTCACTGTTACCAGGGGCTCAGGGTGGACATAGATCTAAGTCCTGAACCTCTTAGGTTAACTGACTGGCCCAAAGCCACACAGTCACCACTTGGTTCTGTCTGACACCAAACCCAGGCTATATGGCCATGCCAGAAGGGCCCTACAAGGAAAGAGACATGGAACCCTTGGGCTTCTAGAACGTTCTCTGAGCCACTTTCAGGTACAAATTCCATGACCACAGAGCTCCCAGGTCCCCTTCAAGGGGACCCACCCAGGCTGCAACCTCCCCAGGGGCCACCAGACATCTGTGCAGGGGGCTTGCTTGTAACAGTGCTGCCCTGCCCCCAGCCTGAGCTTTCACTGCAGCTGACTCCACAGGCCTGGGACCGAACAGTTACATACAGTAACCCATCATGCTTGAGGGATGGGAAGTCTATAAGACAGCACACAGACATCTGTGGCTCCACCTTCTAACCGATAACCAGAATATTCTATCCAGAAAACCAGAAAGAAGCTGCACAGAATGAGGAAAGAGATCTGTGTGACCTCAGGTAGAAAATGACTTCTTAAAAGCACATACTAAGCACATACTCATGCCTGTCATTCCAGCACTAGGAGGTGGAGGATCAGGAGCTCAAGGCCAGCCTCAGTTACATAGCAACTTTGGGGTCAGCCTGGGCCCTTTTTTGAGAACTTGTCTCAAAAAAGAAAGAAAAATGGAAGGAAGGAAGGAAGGAAGGAAGGAAGGAAGGAAGGAAGGAAGGAAGAAGGAAGTCCTCCAAGCCCAGTGCTCTCCCAGAAGTGCACCTGACACGACCAGACTCAGCAGGTTTCAATGAGCAATGGACCCTCATCCAGACTGTGCTGTACGACTCAGGCCACACTGCCTCCCTGAGCTTCTCCCTCCTCATCCGCCTGCCAGCTGGGCTGCAGTGTAGCTTCAACAAGGACATGCCCAGTGCACACCAGATGTGCACTTGATAGACCACAGCTTATGTGAAAGTGAACAGTGGGCTCCTGGCCTTGACACAGCCCCCAGGGCGCTCACAAAGGTCAAGGGTACTAAAGACTAGGGGTGGGACACTGACCACAGAGGACACTACTCACCAGCAGGTAGATGGTGCTGGCGATGGCCAAGCAGGCAGTCCCCAGGATAGTGGCCAGGAGGAAGCCTGCCGGGACTGACAGCCTGGAGGGAGGGCAGGAGAAAGCAAACAGCAGTCAGAGGGAGTCTTGAGCCCCCAGGCCACAAGGTCTCCAGGACGCCAAGATGAGGGGAGGCCAGCTCCACCCAAGTCTGGCTTAGGTTTGGTTTCAATTCTCTGAAGCAATATGTCCTTTAACTCCAGACAGTGTTGAGAAGAGGCCTGGGCTGGAGTGTGGCCACATGGGGGTATCCCAGCCCTGGCTCCAAAAACCACCAGTCACACACCTTTCAGGTACACAAGACCCAAGAAGGAACCACCCAGCACTGTGAGTATAAATCAGCTACTAAGTTTGGGGTGAAGTGTCCCATACCAGACAATGGATGCAGGTTTAGAACCTTGGCCCTTCCTGAGAGCCCAGTTTCTGTCTGGACAAATACCAATGAAGGAGAGCTTGGCTGGGCCACCGCTTCCCAGCTTGTTACTCAGAGGTTGGGCAGCAGGACTCACAGGAGATGGAGGACAGCCCGAACGTAGTAATTCCTGGTGAGGGGCCCGAACAGCTTCACCACTGAGGTCATGTACTTCTGTCCACTAGATGCAGAGGGAAGACAGAGACAGGGTCACAGGGCAGGATCCTTGTCACCCACTACCCAACACTGCCCAGGGCTCTGAGTCCTTTTTCTCCTGGGTACACATTGGGCAGGCACTGGGCTGGGCGCCCAGCACAAGCAGGTTGCTTCCACGGTGCTGACTCCCTACCCTGCTCAGGCAGGAGTCACTCACCACCGCTCCATGGTGGATCCTTTTTTCCTCTTCCCCCGGGGGTACTCCAGCAGGCAGATGAACACACCAGCAGCGCTGGGGCAAAGGTTAAGGAAAGCCACACTCAGCCTGAGCCAGTTCTGCTGAAGGGAGAACAGAGGCACCACCTGCACCTGCCCTCCCACCTCATCTGTCCTAAGCAGCAGGTCCATTGGGCCAGCAAGGTAGGGAGGGGGCCATGGAGTCCAACCCAAGCCTTGGGATGGAGGACCACAGCCTCACACTTGTCCCCACTGCAGACAGTTGGTTCTACCACCTGTGCCCAAACAGGAGATGGGTGGCACTCTGCTGTTACAGCTCCACCTCTGCCCAGCCCCCAGTAGAAGGATACATGGAGTAGGTGCCAAAGTACCATTGTGTGAAGCGCCCAGCAGTGGCCACGATGCCCCCTGTGATGAGAACTGAGGACAGAGTGAGGTGGTTAGGGGGCAGCCCCTGCTGAAGGCCTGGACCGAGCTGCAGGGCTTACCCCTAGGCTGGGACAACCAGGCCTCATGTGGGTTCCTTGTCCAAGTGACAGGGTTGGGACACTGCCCCATTGGTGCTGCAAGATGATGCAGGGGCAGAGAGGACACTGGGGGACATGGTAAGGGTGAGTTGAATTGCCAGTGTCTCTGTCTTGCTGGCGATGCATCCCTTTCCTCTCTGGCCCTGGTCCTGCCTCATCTCCAGGCAGCTGTTTAATATGGTAGAGGAACACACTTGGTGCTTATCATGTCATATACTCTTCCCCCACCCCCTTTTTTTTTGTTTTTTTGAGACAGGGTCTCCCTGTAGCCCCAGCTGGCCTGGAACGCCTATGTAGACCAGGCTGGCCTTGAACTCACAGAGATCTGCCTGTCTGCTTCTCAAGTGCTGGGATTAAAGGTGTGTACCACCACACCTGGCTATGTCTCCTCTTTTTTAAAAAATATACTTTATCTATTAGAGTGTGTGTGTGTGTGTTTATTGCCTGCATATGTGCAAGCACACACCCCCTGGAGGTCAGAAGAGGGCATCAGATTCCCCTGGAAATGGAGTTAGGGACTTTTGTTAGCTGACATGTAGGTGCTCGGAATCAAACCCAGATCCTCTGTAAGAGCAGCCAGCACTCTTAATTGCTGAGCCATCACACATGTGGGTATTTTCTCCCCTGTAACCTACACTTTTTCTTGCCTTTTTGGGGTGCTAAAAATACACATAAATTTAACACTGCAGTCACATGAAAGCATTAGGGTTCAGGGGCACGAGGTACACCCACCCACACTGGGCTGAGGTGTGGCTCAGGGGTACTGTTTACCTAGCAGGCATAAGGCTGAGTTCCATGCCCAGAAAAAAAAAAAAAAAAAAACAAAAAAAAAAACTTCACAATGCTGTGCCACTGTCTCACAGACCCATAATCACTGAGGGCCCACCGACACCACAGCCCATCTCCAGTTTCTAGGACTTCATTACGGTAGAATGTGAAAGTCCTGAGCTGGGTAGCATTTACATGTGTGCCCTCCACCATTCCAGAAAACTCTTGACTTTGTGCCTTTGGTTGCTGTGAAGTTGAAGCTCCCCAGCACTGTGCTGTGTGGACCAGGAGCTTGTTCTTCCTGTTGTTTTGAGATGGTCTCATTACACTGACTAGCCCAGAACTGATCCTCCTGCCTCCATCTCCTGTGTGCTTACATTCTAGGCATGAACCACCACCAGCTTTTTGTCTTTTTAAAAAAAATTGAAGCCCAGGCGTGGTGGCGCATGCCTTTAGTCCCAGCACTCGGGAGGCAGAGGCAAGCGGATCTCTGTGAGTTCAAGGCCAGCCTGGTCTACATAGTGAGTTCCAGGACAGCTGGGGCTACAGGGAGACCCTGTCTCTAAAAGACAAAAAAAAAAAGAAAGAAAGAAAATTGAGTGTTTTTCTATTATTGAATAATCACAGTTTATTGATGCATTTTTCTGTCTTCGGGACACTTAGATGCTTTTAGTGGATAGCTATTATGGATAAGGTGATACAGCTAAGTTTTATTTATTTTTTAACCAATGTGATGGTGAATTTAATATATTTTATGGAGCTGGGCGTGGTGGTGCATGCCTTTAGTCCCAGCACTCCAGAGACAGAAGCAGGTGTAGATCTCTGTGAGAACTAGGCCAGCCTGGTCTATATAGCGAGTGCCAGGGAAAGAGGGGGGGGAGGGAAGAGAGAGAGAGAGAGAGAGAGAGAGAGAGAGAGAGAGAGAAAGGGAAAGAGAGAGATTTTATGGGACTGGTAAAATAGTTCAACAGATAAAGATGCTTGTCACCAACCTGGGCGACCTAAGCTGAATTCCCAGGACCCACATAGTGGAGGAGAAAACTGACTCCAACAAGCTGTCCTCTGACTTCCACATGCTTGCTGTGTCACACATGCCCTGCACCCCCGCCAAGTAAATAAATGCAATAAAAAAGATATATTTTACTATCTGGGTATGGTGGCACATGCCCACAATAAGAAGCTCTAGGTTCGACCCCCAGCAATGCGTCAACTAAGCATGGCCTGTTTGTCTGTAATCCCAGCACCTGGGAAGTTGAAGCAGGAGAATCGAGTTCAAGGCCAGCCTAGGATACACAAAGCCCTCTCTTATCAACAATAATCACTCACTCAATCAATCAATAAAAATGGGCTGATGAGATGGCTCAGTAGGTAACTGCTCGCTGCCAAGCCTGACCACCTGAGTTCAATCCCCAGAACCCACATAAAGATGGAAGGTGAGAATCAACTCTCACAAGTTGTCTGTGGCATGTATGCACCTATACCCCCCGCAACACACAAATAAATGTGAAAGAAAAATTTTAAGTAAAACAACCAAAAAACTAAATAAATAAAAAGACAAGGAAGCTTGTTCGGCATTGTTTTCTCTCCCCCGCTTTTCGTCTTTTGGAGACAAAGAGTCTCCCTGTAGCCCCAGCTGGCCTGGATCTCACTATGTAGACCAGGCTGGCCGCCATCTCACAAGATGGGCCCACCTCTGCCTCCCAAGTGCAGGGATTAAAGGCGTGGGCCACCACGCCCGGCCGCAAGGGTTTTCTTTTTAACAAGTTTCTGTTGTGTCTTCTTTTTTCTACCGACCAGATCAAACTATTTAACCCTTCCTTCCTTCCTTCTACAGGAATGGAAGTCTGTATCTGGTTATATATTAACATTTCCTTCCCTCTGTATTGTGGAATTCTCACCAGGAGCTGTTCTATGGCTGTTCACTGTACTGAGCTTTCTTAGTTATGACACAAAGCTAACCCACCCCTCTTCACCTCTCCCTCACTGGGCATTATGACATCTATGTACACTGTCGTTATTTGTCCTTTTGAGACAGAGTCTCCCTGCAGCTGGCCTGGAATTCACGATGTAGACCAGGCTGACCTCAAACTAACAAAGATCTGCCTGCCTCTGCCTCCCAAGTGCTGGGACTAAAGGCGTGCCCTTCCACGCCCGGCTATTAACACTTTTTATAACGATTCCTTTTTTTTTATGTGTATGAGTGTTTGCCTGCACATATGTAAGTGCATCATGCACAGCCTGGTGGCCACAGAAGCCAGAAGGGGGCATCAAATCTGCTGGAACTGGAGTTACACATGGTTGTAAGCCATCATGTGGGTGATGGCACCAAACCCAGGTCCTCTGCCAGAGCAGGAAGTGCTCGTATCTGCTGGGCCATCTCTGAGCCCTTGGGAATGCTTCTGACAAGGAGTGCTGTTCCCAGAAGCCCCAAGGGCAGTTTTCAGGCTTTTCATTTAACCAAGATCTTCACGCGTGTTGCATTTGGTCGGTATGTCTCTCGTCTTTCTAAATCTACAACAGTTTTCTGACTTTTTTTTTTTTTTTTTTTTGGTCTTTTTTGAGACAGGGTCTCCCTGTAGCCCCCGCTGTCCTGGAACTCATTATGTAAACCGGGCTGGCCTTGAACTCACAGAGATCCACCTGCCTCTGCCTCCTAGGATTAATCTGCTGGCACTAAAGGTGTGCGCCACCACACCTGGCCTTTCTGACTTTTTAAACAGTATCATGTAGCTCAGGCTGGACGTTGAGCTCCTGATCTTCCTGTCTCCACGTCCCAAAAGCTGAGGTTACAGGTACAGACCCCCATGCCTGGCATGATATGGGGCTTGAATCCAGGGCCTCATACATACTAGGCAAACTTTCTCCACATACTCCAGTCACGTTTCTTTATGGTACTGACTTTTAAAGTCCTGTAGAATGTTGCACATTCCAGATTTGTGCATTTGTTTACCAACATAGTTTTCAGCTGGGTGTGGTGCTGCACACCTGGAATCCCAGCACTTCTAAGGCTAAAACAGGAGGATCACAAGTTCCAGGCCAGCCTGGGCTACATACTGAGACTCTATTTCAAAAAACAAGCAAAGTCAGGCATGGTGGCACATGCCTTTAATCCCACCACTCTGGAGGCAGAGGCAGGTGGATCTCTGTGAGTTCAAGGCCAGCCTGGTCTACATAGTGAGTTCCAGGACAGCTGGGGCTAGAGAGAGACCCTGTCTCAAAAAGACAAAACAAAACAAAAAACAACAACAACAACAACAACAAAAAAAAAAAACAAGAAAAAAAGCTACTAGTCTCTCTTTCTCGCTCCTTCTGAGAGTTTGTCCTAAGGCTTATTCAGACTGAAAATATTTTTAGCAAGACTGTTCAAAGGCAGTGATACATAGTTCTATTTTTCAAATCCAGAAGCATACCTTCACGTTATCCCATTTCCTATCCTGACTTTTGAAAATAAATACCCCCAAATATTTAAGGTTACTTATTTCAAAATTCTTCCTATGTCACAAGTGGACTTCAGAATGTCTAGCTCCATTTCTGTCCCATTGCCCGACTGTCAATCATTCACTTCTGCCTTCACTCTCAAGTGCAGTTTTCTTCTGAACTCAATTTTCCTCTTGCTGGAGCACATCCTGTAGTCACCTTTGCACTGAGTGTACATGAGCTGCAATGCCCTGGTTCTTCAGTTACAAAAGAACAGGACACTGAGCATGTTCGAGGGAGGTGGTAAGTCTTTTTACTCAGCACCTAAGATATCCTGCCAGTAGTCACCCATTTTTGTTTTTGTCTAATTTCTTTTTTTAAATGTTTTATTAATTTTTTTAATGTTTATTATTTTTGTTTTATGTATATGAGTGTATTGCCTGCGTGTATGTGAGTGCACCTGTGTCGTGTAATGCCACAGAGGTCAGAAGAAGGCTTTGGATTCCCTGGAACTGGAGTTAAGGACGGTTCCTAGCCACCATGTGGGTGCTGGGAATGGAACCCGGGTCCTCTACAAGAGCAATCAGTGCTCTTAATCCCTGAGCCATCTCTCCAGCCCCTTGTTTGTCTAATTTCATCACAATATGTCCAAATCTTAAGAGATCTGTTTTCACCTGGTGTGGTGGCACATGCCTTTAATCCCAGCACTTGGGAGGCAGAGGCAGGTGGATCTCTGTGAGTTCAAAGCCAGCCCTGGTCTACATAGTGAGTTCCAGGCCAGCTGAGGCTACAGGGAGACCCTGTCTCAAAAAAAACGACAAAAAAAGAGATTTGTTTTCATTCGTTCTGAAATTGAAAATTTCTCTTCCACCTAAGATTTCTTCATTCATTTCTGGGAAGTGTTCAGCAGCCTCCAGACCTCTCCCACGCTATGAACTCTCTCATGGAACTTTCCTGTCTCACTTGTTTGCACTTCCTGTACAATGTACGTGCGTGACACAACTTCTCCACTTCTGTGTAGAAATCCCCACCCTGGTCCCATGAGGCCCCATTCTGTGTGGTTCCTCTGATGTGCCTTCCATTTCCCTCGAGGGCCATGCATCCACTACCACCAGGGCTTGATGTGTCTGCAACTGCAGACACTGCACATGAATTCACTTTCCAGTATCCAGTGGGTTCCTTTCTCTCCTTGAGCATTCCTTTCCAGTGGGACCCGCAACTGTGCTCTCCAAGTGCTGACTCTACCAGGGTTCACTTCCTCTAACAGTGAGCTGTGTGAGCTTGTGCCAGCAGGGTGTGTTCCCACCGCAGCCTGTGCATGTGTGTGTGTGTGTGTGTGTGTGTGTGTGTGCGTGTGTGTGTCTGTGTGTGTGTCTGTGTGTGTGCCCAGCAGAGGGTTTCCCCTAAAATCTGGTTTCTCTGGTTTCTGCGTCTGTCGGGGAAGGCGGCTTCAGCCTGCATGGCCTAGGTATCGTGACCTAGCTGTTTGTGATCTTTTCTACCCAGAGCCCCAGCACCAACAAGGCACAGTGGCAGCAGGGCTGATGTCCACGTGAGCTTGTGCAGTGTCTCCTACCTCCTCCGACACAGAGACCCTGGGCTGGTCTTAGGAAAGGTCTTAGCACTGTCCTGGGCTCCCCTGGACTTCAGGCCCTGCTCCCTACCTTGAAATATCACTGGTTTATTCTGACGCTTGGTTTGAAGCTCAGCTGCATATTAACTTGTTTTGCTGGTCAAAAGTGTTAAGCGTGTAGTCTGCTCAAGGGAGGGGCCATTTCCTAACATGCTCACTCTGCCTGCTGGTCTTGGGGTCTCATGTCCTCATCCCGAGACTCTGCAGGAGGGAGCCAGGACACCTTTATCCACCAGTGAGGCTGATGACACATTCTGGAATCTGAGCAAAAGCACCTACTGTGTGTAGGACTCTTTGTACAGACATAATAACCAAGGCCCAGGGTCTGCATAAGACAGTGGATGCTTTAACAGAGGGCCCTGATCCCAGGGGATCAAGCTACTTCAAGTTGGAAATCTTTGAGCAGGTGACATCTGAGTTGAAAGGTGAAGGAGGTGTCAGCTCTGGGTGCTGTGGTAGCAGTAGTTTGTGCAAAGACCAAAGTGTGTGTGTGGTGCACACTCAGGAGACGTGGGAGTAGAAAAGAGGCTTCACAGTGGAGGCAAAAAGGGCAGAGAGGGCCCAGGAGGGAGGGAGGGAGGGAGGAATGGAGGGAGGGAACACTAAGAAGTACTTCCAGGAGGCCTGGGGCATGGTTCAGTTGGGAGAATACTTGTCATGCAAACATGAAGACCTGAGGTCAATCCCCAGAACCCATGTAAAAAAAACCAGGTATGGCAGTGCAAGTGTGTGGAAGTCAGAGGGCAACATCAGGTGCTGCTCTGGACACTGCCCACCTCGTTTTTTGAGACAGAGTCTCTACTGGCACGGGACTGGCAAAGTCGGCTAGGCTGGCCAGTGAGCCCCAGTGATCCTGCCATCCGACACACCCTCTTCTGGCTTCCACAAGCACACACACACACACACACACACACACACACACACACACACACACACAGAGAGACACAGGCACATTTACATAATTTTTGGTGGTCCTTTTGAGATAAGATCTCACTGTAGCCCCAGCTAGCTGGAACTTGCTATGTAGACCAGGCCGGCCTCAATCTCAGAGATCTGCCTGCCTCTGCTTCCCCAGTGCTCATACATCATTTAAAAAATAAAATAAAACTTTAAAAAACTGCTCCTGCTGACTGGTCACACTTTCCAATAATGGAAGTCAGCAGAAGGACCTGTCTCCATCCAGCTAACTTGGGGGGGATATGGATGGAGAAACTGGCCACAGCCAGTGACTTCCCTAGACCTACACTGTGCTGTTGCTAAACTGCACATGAAAGTTGTACCAGCCTGGGCACCATGGACATTAGCTGAGGTAGTGAGCAGAGAACCCTACACAGCGCGCCTAGGACAAGGGGATGCTGGGCAGGCGGACACCCTCCACTGGCACTCACAGGGACTATAGCCCAGGGTCTCCCACCCCAGAATGGGAGTTTCCAGTGTGGGCCTGGGAGATTTCTCTATCACTGTCTCCAGGTCAGTGGGAGTGGGTCTGCCCCCCTCGCACCTGTGGGTCCTTTCAGGCTAGCTCTGGTACAGTTTCTTCTGGCCTCAGAGCGAATGCCCTGGCCTGGTCTCCCAGGTTCTTTTCCGGGTGCACTTTAGTGCAGGGGTCCACGGCCCGGTGGACAGACCTCCCAGGCAGTCGGGGCCGTACCAAACAAGGCCAGTCATCCTGCCCAAGGCCAAGTGTTCTGCAGCTTAGCCCGGAAGGGCGATCACTCTGGGTGGTGCCCAGACCCTTGTGAAATAGTTTCTGCGAAGACTCAAGCTAGTGGGATGGAGCCGGCTGCTCCCCCGGGAATGGGCCTAGCTCCCCACCCCAGGGCCTTCCCGGAGGTGACCCCATGGATGGACCCCGCCCCAGGCCAGAGTGGGCCGAGGGGGAGGGTCGTCCGCGGGTTTTCCCAGCCAGGCGGGAAACCACCAACTGCAACTTCCTCCTCTGCGGTCCCAGCTCGGGCAGAGCAGGGGGCAGGGTGGGAGCGCGGAGCCGGCGGCCAGGCCGGTGTGCCGCAGCCACCCTGAGCCCGCGGGGTCCCGGCAGCACCCCGCCTGGCCCG